GACTGACCCTGGATATGGTGGCACCATTCCATGGACTGGGGTCCCCTCTCCAAAGGGAGCTAAGGACAGCAGTCCTCTCTTTCCTCTTTCTCCCACTGGCTCGACCGAGTCTTACTGCCATGCTTTCCCTGCCATGATGGGCCATACCTTGAAACTGTAAGCCAGAATCAACCCTTCCTTCCTCCTGTGGCTTTTGTCAGGATACTTTGTCACAACAACAAGACAGATAGCTAACAGCGGGTACATGCGTGTGTGCAGGTGCACGTGTGGAGGGCAGAGGTCAACGTTGGGTGGCTGTTGGCAATGTGGGTGTCCTTCCTCGGGGACTATCTACCTTACCTTTAGAGACAGGGTCTCCCACTGGGTCCTGATGCTGGTCCAAGGAGCCTCAGGGATCCTCCAAGACTCTTCTTCCCAGGCACTAGCATCACAAGCAAGCACCACCTGGTTTTTGACATGGGTAGTGGGGATTGAACTCAGGTCCTCATGCTTTCCAGGTAAGCACTTTACCAAATATCTCCCCAGCCCCAGAAGCTTTAGGGATGAGATTGCATATGGAAGACTTTCAGGCCGATGATACTGGGATTGACTTCCTCTCTCAGTAAGAGTTAATCACCTGTGGCCTGGGTTGGGGGGATGCTGGGCAGAAAGCACTTGCTATGCACGTGGGACCCAGACAGTGTGTCCAAACATGCTGTGTTGTGAGGGCCCTGCAGTTCATACTTAGCAGAGGTTTCCGAGAAATCAGAGATTTTCACAAGACCATTAGTCATCACTAGGAGCTGGCTCTCTACATCTTACAGGTTGGGGTAGGTTCCAGCTTTGCTACTTAATGGCTGGGGGACCTCAGGCAAGTTTTCTAATTCCTCTGAGTTTGCCTGCTTGCCTAAAAAAAAGCGGGGGGGGGGGGGGCTTCTATAATAGTTGTTTGCTGTGGGATGTTCTGTATGGCAAATGTGTTGCTGATTAGTCAATAAATAAAACACTGATTGGCCATTGGCCAGGCAGGAAGTATAGGCAGGACAAGGAGGAGAATAAAGCTGGGAAGCGGAAGGCTGAGTCAGAGAGACACTGCCAGCCGCCACGATGAAAAACAGCATGTGAAGATGCCGGTAAGCCACGAGCCATGTGGCAAGGTATAGATTAATGGAAATGGATTAATTTAAGCTGTAAGAACAGTTAGCAAGATGCCTGCCACGGCCATACAGTTTGTAACCAATATAAGTCTCTGTGTTTACTTGGTCGGGTCTGAGTGGCTGTGGGACTGGCAGGTGAGAGAGATTTGTCCTGACTGTGGGCCAGGCAGGAAAACTGTAGCTACAGTTGTTACATCCACAGTCTATTACTCATCCACCTGGTCACTCATCTCTTCAGTTTTTCTTGAAACCCTGCCATGCATCATACTCCACTAGGGATCAGGACACAAAAGTGGCCAGAGAGCCGGGCGGTGGTGGCACACGCCTTTAATCCCAGCACTTGGGAAGCAGAGCCAGGCGGATCTCCGTGAGTTTGAGGCCAGCCTGGGTTACAGAGTGAGTTCCAGGAAAGACACAAAGCTACACAGAGAAACCCTGTCTCGAAAAAACAAAAACAGTGGCCAGAGAAGAGAGCACCAAGAATCCATAAAGTAAGACCACTTGGGGCACTGCCGGGGTGTCCTAGTTAGGGCTTCAATTGCTGTGATAAAAATGCCTTCACCAAAACAGGGTGAGGAGGGATGGGTTTATGTCAGCTTACAACTCTCAGGTCACACTCCATCACTAAAGGAAGTGTGGGCAGGAACTCAAGCATGGCAGGAACCTAGGGTGGGAACTAAAGTGGAGGCCTGGAGGATGCTGCTTACTGGCTTGCTCCCCATGGCTTTCTCAGCCTACTTTCCTATAGCACCCAGGACCATCAGCCAGGGGTGGCACTGCCCACAGTGAGCTGGGCCCTTCCACATCAATCGTTAAGCAAGAAAATGCACTATAGACATCTGGTGGGAGCATTTTCTCAACTGAGATTTCCAAAATGACTCTAGCTTATGTTGACATAAAACTAGCCAGCACAGCAGACTCTAGAAAGTCTGGCCTGACTAAGTAGTGGTGGAACTGGGGGATGGAAAGGGACAGGACTGAGAGACGTGGTCATGGAGATTTGAGCAGGACCCAGTGGTGGGCTGAATGGGAAGGGGAGGAAGAGGCTGAGGAAGACTTCTGAGTTTTTTGTTTATTTTTTTTTTTTTTTTGAGACAGGGTTTCTCTATGTAGTACTGGAATTCACTCTGTAGACCAGGCTGGCCTCGAACTCAGAGATCTGCCTGACTCTGGATTAAAGACATGCGCCACCACCACCCAACATTTTAAAACAATTTTTAATTTTTAACTGTGTGTATATTACATGTATGTCTCTGTGTAGGTTGGCTCACATGAATGTAGTATGACTGGAGGCCAAAAGAGGAGGTCATACCCCCAGAAACTGGAGTTATAGGTGGTTATGAGCCACTCACTGGCCAGGACTGCTTAGAGTCACACTTGCTAAGTGCTCTTAATCACTGAGCCAGTATTCCAGTCCTGACTTCTGAGTTTTCACTTATCCCCCTGGGTGGTGTCGTTTATTGAGGTGGGGACACAGGGAGCCATTCTGGGGAGGGATGGCCAGTGCTGGGGTTTCTCTATCACATGCCGAATTTTGATCTACAGTGTCGCAGTGCTGAGAGGTGATGAGGCCTAAGTGGGAGGTACTCGAGTCAGGTGGGCTGACTGAGACAACCTGTTTGCCAATGCTGAGTTTCAAGCATTTAGAGGTTATTCCAGATACCTGGACACAGACATCTGCAACTCTAGAAGAGGACCAGGCTGAAAATGTGGGTTTGTATGTCCATCATACTGTGCTGCTGAGAGAAGCCAGGGCTTCCAGTGAGTCCTGATACACTGGGGAACTAGGACTAATTTTGTTTGTTTGTTTTTGAGACAGGGTTTCTCCGTGTAGCCTTGGCTGTCCTGAAACTCACTCTGTAGACCAGGCTGGCCTCAAACTCAGAGATCCACCTGCCTCTGCCCCCCAGTGCTGGGATTAAAGGTAAGCGCCACCATCACCCAGCTGGACTAATTTGTTTGATGTTGCTATAACTGAATGATTTATAGACTGTGTGATTTATAGCATTAGAAGTGTACTTACACTGGACGGTGATGATAATGTAGTTTCCACTCAGTGGGATGCTTGTTTGTGCAGCCAGCTACCAGGTCACAAGGAGGCCCAGGCCACACAGGAGACCTTGAGTGGCTGGTCTAACCAACAAGCCTGATTGGTCCCTTGACCCTGACCCCTATGTTTGACTTGTGCCCGAAGGAGCCTAAGAGGAACCCAGCCTGGCTCCCAAGTCTTCTGGAGGAGGCCTTCTATGTAGTAGGCAGAGAGAATGAGTCTTCATTGTGCCCTGACTGAATTCTTGACCCACAGCAGCCAGAAGAGATGGCAAGGATCAGTTTCTTAAAACCAGATAATTAATAAAGGCTGTAATAGAAATAAGGGGGAAATAGTGACCTAAGTAAACTAACATTTTACTCCTTTTTCATTCAATTTTGGAAGCAGGCAACCAGGAGTGATTTGGGAACCCTATTGTGCCAGTGGAAACCCAGGATCTTTCACTTGACCTTACTATTCTCTGCACATGGCTGCAATTTTCAAGGTTACTTCCAGATCCAAGATAGAGTTTCAGCTCTCACATACACATTCCAATGTGAATGCAGGATGAAGCAAAAGAAAAAAAAAAAGACAGCAATGGTTTTCTCCAATATCATTTCTGTTTCAAAGGGCATCATTGGAAACCCCTTCTCATTCCTGTTTATGTCTTCGAATTACGTTATACCACATACGCAAAGGGGGGTAGACTTGTCTTTTGGCTGGGCTCGTTGCCATCTGAAGTACAATTGGACTTACAGTATTGAGGAAGAGGGAAGAGCTAGTGGCAGTTGGTGGCTGTGGTATCAGAGGAGAATGATAGAGGACAGAGGCCTCACCTGAGAAGCCTTCTTGATGATTTGGATGCTGTACGGTTTTCTACTTCAGCTGTTTGTTTATTTATCACATGGAGTCTCAGGTATCCCAGGCTGATCTTGAACTCCATAAGTAGCTGAGGATGACCTTGAACATCCAATCCTTCTGCCTCTACCTTCTGACCACTGGGATGGTAGGCCCACACCTTCACACTTACTATTCAGTTTTGGAGCTGGAACTCAGAGCCTCTTGCACGCTAGGCAAGCTCTCCCCACTGAGATATACTCCCAGTCCACATAGCAGGACCGTGGCTAAGCATCTTCAAGTAAAGCCCTGCCTTTTCCCTTCTCAGCCATGGCTCCAGTTTGTCCCAGTTTAAACACAGACTCCGGTGTTTGGTCTAGAGCCATGGGTCTTTGCTTCTCCTTCCCCATGCCACTCAGTGCTAGGTTCTGGGGAATCGATTGCACCATGCTTCTCCCCCAGCACACCTGCACAGTAGCTGTCCCGGACAACTGTACATACAATGTTGAGACTTTGCCCAAATGATTTCCTGTGCCCCATCCCCAAGAGTGAGGCCCTTCCTTTGTTCTTTATTCTCTTTCTTTAGATCCCAATCTGGCTTGCCTGGTTCCAGCTTTGTGACCCCCAACCTGCCCAGGATCCATTGCCCCAGACTGATCAGTAGCCACAAAAGGAACTGTATTTGGGTCACAGGCCACAGTTTTCTCCCCACAGTGGGAACCAGACATCACTCCCTTAGTCCTCTGCATGCCCAGCCAATCTGCAATTGCCACCTGGCTGGAAGAGGAGTCTCTTGGGGCAATTCATAATATGTAGTCAGGTTCCAGGATTGGGGTTGAGTGCAGTCAGCTATGGAGGGCATCCTGAGTCTCAGAGGCCCTGGGTGAGGCAGGAAGGTTCCCACTCTGTTTATCTGGATGTTAGAAGCTACCTCTGGGTCTCCTCCCTGAACCCACCACTGCACCTGACCCATCACCCAGGAATGCACGTGTGAAACCTTTCCTGTTTCATAACTTTATTTAATTTTCTCTGTCTCTTCCCTCCCCCGCCAGCCCTTGGGAGGGGGTGGAATCCCCACTTGGAAGGGAAGGGACCATTCTGTTCTCCCTAGGAAGGAATAGTGTCCCCTGGACAGGCTCCATGGATGGAAGAAGCAGGGGCCTTCAAGACAAGGCCAGGGCATCGTCCAAGGGGCTGTGACCAGGGCGGAGCCCCTCGGATGCCCTGTGGTCCTACATCCTGTGGATCACCTAGAAGGTGAAGAGCAGAGAAGCCTGGGGGAATGGTGGAGACAAGGCTGGGGTAACTGTGTGGCTGACAGAGACAGATATGAATTTTAGGATGCTGGGGCTGGCTGTGATGAGGCTTGGAGTTGGGAACCCTGGGTCACAAGGGAAGCTGGATGGAGTGAGGGTGCAGCAAGAACCAGGAGACCAAGGTGAGGGCAAGAGGGCAAGTCTGTGCTCTGAGAATTGGGCTCTGTGGAGAAACTGCACCTTAGGGTCGGGGGACAAACAGGGCACTTGCCCTGAACAGAGAGGTCAGAGGGCAGCTGAGAGGAATGGGGCAGAGGAGGAAGAGAACTCTGGTGGGCAGGGGACCAAGCTGCCGGGTGGCCACAGCCAGCTGTTCAGCTTCAGGACAGCCATCCCAGTTGGGCATGGCCCTAGTCCACCAGTTTGTGCTTCTATGTTGCTGGAGGGCTCCCCATGTAGCTCAGCCATGGCAGAGAGGCAGGCAGCTTTGCCCAGGTTTCCTCCCCATCCCAGTCTTTCTGGATGCTTCTTTCCCTGCCCAGCATCATCTGCTATCACAGGGGACTGTGGTGATGGTTGGGGGAGCCATGCTGGGGACAGATCACAGACTCAACTTAGGTGGCATTGATTTCCCCCCCAAAGGACCACAAGTCACTACATTAAGAATCCCACCCAACTCCCCCCCTCCCCCCTTGTGCATGGCTGGTCTGTTTTCTTTCCTGTTTTTGACAGTTATTCAGACATCCAAGCCCATGGTGAGATGCTGAGGAGAGAGGGGTGGTCTGGGGCTGTAGGGGGCAGGTATCTCAGAGTGCACCCTGCCCATCTCCCCGGCAGCCGCTGTCCCCGTGGACAATGAGCACCGGGAAGTAAAGGGCATCCTCATAGCATGGAGGGCTTTCCAGAGGCTCAGTGTCCTCCCCTCTGCGTCCCAGGGGACCTCCACTCAAGCTGCGGAAGACCCCTGGGGTGGCCCGGCCCCCAGCACCCAGGGAGAGGCGACTGCGGCTGAAGGGCAGGCGAGGCCCACTGGGCCGGGCGGGAGGCAGGGAGTTGCTGCTAACTGAGCGGCGGCAGCGCTGGCAGCCTCGCAGGTAGGCCCCAGAGCCGGCACCCATGACCACAGCCTCCGAGTAGCTGGGCACCAGTTGCCGATTGGAGCAGATGTGCCATTCAAGCTCTGTGAAGTCCACGGTGGCCACTCGAGAGAGTGGCGGCCCGCTGGGCACAGCTCCTGGGGGCGGTGAGCTGGCACCGAAAAGCTTCTCCACCTGGTAGTGTACGTGAGCTGTCCCATAGGCTGCCACCACGCGCAGTGGCCAGGACAGCGTAGCCGCAGACACCAGCCAGAAGACCCAGGCTCGGGCGTACCAGGGTGGGCTGCGGGGGTCTGCGAAGACCATGAGGGACTCACGGAAGTCCACGTCCTTCAGATGCATGCCCTCGCGGGCCTCCAGGTAGTCATCCAGGCCCTCGTTGGCACTGAAGAAGCGGGCCCTCTGCGTGAGGTACGAGGCCTCGGCCTCAGCGCTGCCGAAACTGAAGCACTTGGTGAAACGCAGGCGCGTGGCCGCGTGGTCTGCCAGGCCCACGAGCTCCTTAGAGACGTCACGGACACCATGTGCACTGTAGTCGAATTCGCCCCGAGCTGTGCGACTGTCCGCCCTCTCATGGTAGACCTGTGTGGTGGTGTAGGCATCGCCATTGCGGTAGCGGGTGATCTGGCGTGTGCGGCGCACATAGTGGTAGCTGGTGGCCTTCCACCAGACACAGGGCGGAGCCTGCTGCAACCGGTGGATCAGGGCAAGCACGGTGTTGGCATCGGTGCGAGGCGCCTGGCATGACCGCACATGACAGTGCCAGCACTCTGCCAGGTAGAGGAGGTAGAGGAGGGAGACGAAGGCCAATGGGATGTACAGGTAGCCATCAGAGCAGGGACTGGCTGGGTAGGTGGGCGGTGGACCGCCAGCCCCACGGGCCAAAGCTGCCTCAGGCCCCAGGACCAGGCGGGGCACAGTGGCCAGGCGACACCAGGCCACCACAGCCCCACAGGCATGGATGAGCAGCGTGAGGAGCAGGCACTTCCAGTGAGACTCTCGACACAGAGAGCCTCCCAGGGACTGCTTCAGGGGTCGCTGCTGCAGGGTGGGCAGAGAAAGGAGAGGCACACGTCAGAGCGGAACCGCTGGAGTCAAGGAGGTGGTATCCTAGGACCCACTTTACAGAAGAAACTGAGGCTTCTAAGGATTGAGCTAGCCTGCAGCAAACCTCAGGCGGCAAACCTTGTCTCTCTGCTTTGAGTCTGCCTTCCCTTCCCTGTGCCTTGCTGTTTCTCAGTCAGAAAACCCCCTACCCACCTAGGAGCATAACAGAGAAGAAATGTTCCCTGTCCGTGACTACTGAGAAATCTGACTTCTGATAGTTCCTGATCTGTCTCTGTCTAATTTGCTGTGTGCATTTGGCCACATTTTTACCCTCTCTGGGTCTGGATTTTGGTCCTGGTGGTCTGGGAAACTGATGTTGCAGGGAGTGGGGCGGTGTGTGTGTGTGTGTGTGTGTGTGTGTGTGTGTGTGTGTGTGGAGAGAGAGAGAGAGAGAGAGAGAGAGAGAGAGAGAGAGAGAGAGAGAGAGAGAGAAGTGGACTATGGAGCCAACTATAGACAGCTTTGGGGTGCCAGCTCCTCTACTCACTGTGGCTTGGGCAGACCTCTCCTCTACTCACTGTGGCTTGGGCAGACCTCCCCTCTACTCACTGTGGCTCGGGCAGACCTCCCCTCTACTCACTGTGGCTTGGGCAGACCTCCCCTCTACTCACTGTGGCTTGGGCAGACCTCTCCTCTACTCACTGTGGCTTGGGCAGACCTCCCCTCTACTCACTGTGGCTTGGGCAGACCTCTCCTCTACGGTAGCACTGTTCCCTCATTCATACATCTGGCTGGTGAAGATTCACAGAGATCACATGTGGGAATTTGTTAGCATAGGGTCTAGCCCTGGGAATAAACACTTTTGCTGCTACCCTGGGACTCCCACTGGTCCCTTGTTCCACTAGGGATGGCAGGAGACTTGGGAGAGGCTGTTAAGCGAGAGAGAGAGAGAGAGAGAGAGAGAGAGAGAGAGAGAGAGAGAGAGAGAGAGAGAGAAGCTGGGGAATGGGGGAGGTGTGAGTCTCAGGGCTAGGAGCAGATGGAGGGCCACCCTTCACTCTCAATCTGTGTGCTGAGGGAAGAGATAGGACACAAGCTGGCCACCACAGACGACTTCTTGACCCAAGGGCTCAGCACATCTTCCATGGCTGGTAGGGTTACCAGCCTGGCCACTTCAGGTCTGGTGTCAATAGACAGGGAAGGGAAAGAGGAAAGGGAACTGGGAGAGAAGAGGTGGAAAGTGTAGAGGTAGGATTCTGGGCAATGGCACCTACTCAGCCCCACCATGCCTTGAGAGGTGCATCAGGAGAGGGACTGCCCTCAGTCCCATCCAGGGCAGCCTGCTCCCATTTGTATAAAATTTATAGGTGCATTCTGCCACCCAGACCTGTACCAGCCAGGTGCACACGCCCACTCATCCACACCCCAAACACATGCTCAGCATAGGCCCACCCACCACAAAGGAACACCAGCCCTCATCCAAGAAACAACAGACCCTTGCCTATTTTCAGAGCGCAAGCCTCATGGCCATAGCAAGAAATACTCAGACACTAGACCACTTCACCAGAGGACACACATGCACATACATGTTACATACACACTGGCACCCAGACACTAAGACCCTCACCTGACCACAGTGCACATCTACCCCCACCCTATAGCAACCTGACACCCACAATCCACACTTAGCCACACACTAAAAAGGCACAGCATGAAATCATACACACCCACACTCTTGGGTGAAGACCCAAGGCAAGGAATTCACCAGAGCCTCCTCACCTGACTACAGGGTATATATGTCCCTACTGAAGATACAGGGAACACACAATCGCAATCCCTTCTCACACACACACCACACACACAAGCACGTTATATCCACTCACACACACAGACCACTCAGCACCCTGTTTTCCACACTACCATCTCTCATCCTACACTTGGCACATCCTCCTAGCCAGAGCGAGGAGGGGCTCTGGGGATCTCAACCACTGGAGTGAGCCCTCGGTCCTCTCACCTGGGGGTGGGGAAGAGAAGGGTATCGGCAGCCGCTCCCTTCTTTTCCTTTTTCCCTCCCCCACCCCCAGTCCGTGCCACAGCTACTGCATTGCAGGCACCGCCCGACACCTCGTGAGCAGCTGGGCTGGACTGGGGGCCTGACCCCATGGCCCTGGCACTCGGGGACAGCATCCCAGGCTGCGCTATGGAACAGGGACGCGTGGGGGCCACAAGCGCTGACGTCACAGGGCCGGAGAGAATGATTGAGGGGGCGCCGAGGGCCCAGGTCTCCCCTACATTCCTGCTCAACCATTCCTGCCCTGACCTACGCGGACCCCGAAGCGGCGACCCCAGCCAGAACGCTGTCTCCCCAATGACGTCATTGCTGGAGGGTCTCCGGGACTTTGCTCCTCAATCCCTGTCTGGGGTTCGCCCCTCCACTTGTCCCCTACGCCTCTCTCCAACCCTGGCTCGGTCCCCACCACACGCCGCCGGTACCTCCTCCCGCAGCGGCTCGCTGTCCGGAATGAGTGCGGGCACCTCCCCGCAGTCGCCACCTTCGCCCTCCGGCATGGTGTCCTGGCTGCTCCGGCTGCCGGGCCCGGGCCCCGGGCATGATAAGCGGTGGGGCGCGGAGGGCTGCGGCGCTGCCCCGAGGGGCGTCCGCTTGGCTCGGCGGCCGCTCAAGAGTGCGCCGAGCCCAGCCCGAGCCCAGCCCGAGCGCGGCGGCGTTGGCGGCCGCGGTGCCCGGCGCCCCGCCCTCCGCTGACCCCGCCCCCGCGGCACCGGCGGCGCCGCTGGCTGCGCCTGGCACCGCGGGCGCCCCCCGCCTCTGGGAAGCCCAGTCTGGACGGCCGGCCGGACGCCTGGCTTCTCGGGCCGAGCTCGCGCTTGCGACCTTGGGCGAGTCCTTGCTCTATGGCGCCCGAGTCCCCCCAGCTGTGGAAGGAGGCGGGTGATTCTGCAGGTGGGTGGGCGCCCTCCGGACCCCTCTCTAAGGGATGGACCCGGCTCTAAGCCCACCCAGGCTCTACCCCAGAAGGGAAAGACTAGTCTCATTCGCTGGGCTCTGCTTAAGGTTGGCGGGCTGGAGCTAGGGCACCAGGAACCCTATAGGCTACACGACCTTTGGCTAGCACGTTCCACCCCTAAACTCAGCTTTTCTATCTGAGAAACGGAGATGGAAAAGTGTTGGATTAATTTATTAGCCTTCTCAGGCCAGGCAGGGGAGTAGGTTCTGCCCTGAATGGGACAGCCTTTTCGCAGATGCATAAGGCCCCAGTACTGCTCCCTAGCTCTCAGTGGGCTGGGTTCCTCAGTGGGCTTGGGTCTGGACCTTGCCCCCAAACTAGGTAATTATTGGATAGGACAAAGGGAGTTGCAGCGCTAGGTGGGCTGTTCATGATATGTTTGAACAAATGGCAACTCCGAGATTATTTGCTTGAACATTAAAAGATGATGTAACCGATATAAAGGACTGTTTTTGTCCTTGTGTTTACTATTTATTTACTTATTTAATTTTTTTCAGACTTGGTTTCTCTGTATAGCTCTGGCTGTCCTGGAACTTGCTCTGTAGACCAGGCTGGCCTCGAACTCAAGAGATTCACCTGCACCTGCCTCCTGAGTGCTGGGATTAAAGGCGTGCGCCACCACCACCGGATTTTTTTTTATTCATTTATTTTGTGTTTACTTTTTAAATTATTTTAATTTGTCTGTGTGGGTGTTCTGCCTGTATGTATGTTTGTACACCACATGAATGCAGTGCCCATGGAGGCCAAAAGAAGGTGTTAGATCTCCTGGAACTGGAGTTACAGATGACTGTGAGCTGCCATGGGATGATGGGAATCCAACCCAAGTCTTCTGGAAGAGCAAACAGTGCTCTTAACTGCTGAGCCATCTCTTCAACTGCCCCCATTCGTTTACTTATTTATTGGGCACAGATGTTTGTCACGATCTTCCATGTGTAATTAGTGTGCTTGGGCACTAGCAGGACATAGATGGATGTGGAGAATGGTATAGTCCCTGTCCTCATGGAAGCTATCCAGGGAAAAGTATGACTAAAGAGGGGTTCAGAACCCAGACTCTGGCCTCCACTCTGGGCCAAGGTCAGGCCTCTGTTCCCTTTGTCCCTCTGTAAGAGCTAAAGTGACCCCTCCATTTAAAATGTAGCTACATTTTAAATTTATTTATTTTGTGTATGTCTCTCTGGGCGGGGTGTATCTGAAGGGGTGCACTTTGCCCAGAGAGCAAGTGTGCACGTCAGAGGACGACCTTCGGGAGTTGGTTCTTTTCCCACTATGTGGGGCCTGGGAATTGAATTCAGGTCCTCGGGATTGGCAGCCTGCTGAACCATCTCACAAGCGACTCTTAAAAGCTCTGAACAAATTGATGGGAAGGGAAAGGGCATCCCAGGTGGAGGAGCAAAAGCAGCAGTTGGACCCTCATGGGCTGAGTTTGGGGAGCAGGAAGGTCTCACCTTATGTAACCGAACACTAAGTAGCTAATCAACTGCAAGTATCAGAGGGCGTGTCACGCTCTCTGGAGGACAGAGTCTGTGACGAGAGACCCTTGAAGACTGTCTCCCGTGAGGGTGGGCGTGGTTACACCTGGGTGGGAAGAAAAGAGTCTGGGAGACTAGGAGAGAGGCCTAAGAGCCCCACTGAGATCACAGGACTGGTAATGACTAAGGACTGGTAATGACTAAGGATTTTCGACTGCACCTTCAGGAGACAGATCAGCACACTTCTGCCTCCCAAGTCCACCGGACCACTGGAGAAAGCAACAGGACAAGGCCCAGTGTGTATTCCTGCCCCATGTATACCACCAGATCTCTGGAATTTCGGATCTTCTGGGGCTCAGTTTCTGTCCCCTGCCCCGTGCGTGCGTGCATGTGTGTGTTTGTGTGTGTGTGTGTGTGTACATGTGCGTGCGCACGCGTGTAATGTATTGAGCGCGATCCCAAACCCTCCCAGCAAAGACCCTAGCTGATGAACAGGATAGCGGCGGACGCTAAAGGGCATTTTCAGCACCGGCTGACGGACAGCACCTGCTCGGAAAGGAGTGGGAGGCCGGAGGAGGAGTCAGCGCTTTAGGGCTCTAGACTGCGCAGTCACTCGCCTGGTGTGGGCAACACCACCACATTCTAGCCGGCCGGGGCTCCGCTACAAGACTGAGTGAACTGGAGGAAAGAGAGCACAAGAGGGAGGGCAAGGATCGGTCAGAGCTTGACCGACCGCCACATTCCTCCTGGAATGCGTTGCAGCGGAGTCGGCTCTGTACCTTAACTAGCTGTGTCCGTCCGGAGCTGTCTTGCTACCGGCGTAGTCGTGGCAAGGAGCGTCAAGCGCCTCTCGGCGCAGACGCGGAACTAAGTTACAAATCCTTCCCACCTATTGGCTGGTCGTGCCGCGATTTAACCAGCCTCCTACTCAATCGGAGAGCGCCTTGAATGGCACCGCCCCCTATCTGTCGGAAGTTGACTATGTCCAAATCCGATTGGGCGAAGGCTCACCAGTAGCCAATTGGGAGTGTGGAGGGCGAGAACCAGCTCCTCCGAAGAGCCTATGGGAGACAGCGGAGTGTGACGCCACGGACATGGCGCCGCGATCCGCCAGCCCTGGGACGTGTCGGGCTGTCGGGTAACTTCGGTCAGTGCTGGGCGAGAGAAGCAGCTGTTTCAGTCGTGTTGTACCCCCGACTCAGCGCAGCCAGCCCTTGGGTAGCGCGGTCATCCTGGCCATGGCTTATCACTCGGGATACGGAGCCCACGGTGCGTGAAGACTGGGGAGGGCGGGGCGCGGCCTGGCAGCAGGGCGCCCAATCCCCTGCGGGACCCACTCTCCGTGGGGGAGAGGGCCTGCGGTGACTGCTGCCCAGGGCGGGGAGTGTCCCTCGGGTTCCTGCCCTGCCACACTACAGCGTGTCCTGGACTTCGCCCTTGCTGGCCAGTCCTGAGATTAGGCGGCGATAGCACAACTGGAATCCCCAAGTCTGATCCTGCATGAATCGACTTCTCCTCCAGAACTTCGTTTCTCTATTATAACTCTGGCAGCCTTCCTGACCACTGTCCCGGGACTCCGAGTAGCCAGTGTTGCCTTTTCTACACGTATTAAGGGATGTCTTACCGGTGACCGTACTCAAGCAAACAACTGCTCACTTTCTAGTATTCAGGGATCATCTTCCTTGAGACTTCCCAGCAATCACAAGTGGGCAGCCACTTCAAGGCGCGCCTCCCCCCAAAAGAATAGGAGATCTTTCTTAAAACGCGTTCTGACTTTTTCTCAGCAGCTGTTTGGTGTCCCAGGACCTATGCACAGCTTCTCAGCCCGGGGAAGGTGCAATGATTTGGGTCCTTGCTCTGTATTTCTGTTACCTACTTTGGTATTCCCACACCTGCAGGTTCCAAGCACAGGACCCGGGCAGCTCCAGATCCTCCTCCGCTCTTCGATGATACAAGTGGTGGCTATTCCAGCCAGCCAGGTGGATACCCAGCCCCAGGAGCTGATGTATCCTTCAGTGTCAACCACCTGCTTGGAGACCCAATGGCCAATATGGCTATGGCCTATGGCAGCTCCATAGCATCCCAAGGGAAGGACATAGTGCACAAAGAGGTGTGGCCTGTGCTCAGGGAAAGGGTGACAGGGTTTCTGGCTAGGGCTGGGGTGTCACAGGATCCCACTTGACTCCCCAAGCAGCCTTAGGAAGGACACGTCCACAGTCTTCTTTCTCCACTTCCAGCTGCACCGCTTTGTCTCTGTGAACAAACTCAAGTATTTTTTTGCTGTGGACACAGCCTATGTAGCCAAGAAGCTAGGACTATTGGTCTTCCCCTACACACATCAGGTGAGCGTCCTACCAGGTGAGCTGGCATGCCTCTCCCCACTTTCGGGAAACCTGATCCTCAGACCTCAATCCCTTTCTTCCTTTTTTTCCTCTGCTCCTGCTTACCGGACCCCTGCCACTGCCAGAACTGGAAAATGCAATACAGTCATGATGTGCCTCTGCCCCCACGGAAAGACCTCAATGCTCCTGACCTCTATATCCCCAGTGAGTCTCTGATGTGGGCTTGGGGACGCAGGGGTACTTGTGCCCTGAAGCATCGTTAGGAAAAAGGAGACTCAACTAATGACCCAGCATCCATTTCTGGTGCTTTTCATGTGTGACTGTTAACAGACACCAGATTGACAGGGTGACCGGTAGGAACCTTCCTGAGTGTGACCTTGATGTTTCCATAACCTTCCTGCCTTTTAATTTGGACCCTGTCTCTCTCCAGCCCGGACCACTGGGTTTTTACTTGGCTCAGCAGCTTCCAGCTGTAGGACTTTAGGCTGGTTCTTTCTGCCTTTAGTAAGACCAACAATGGCTTCTACCTCAGAGAATTGTTGTGGAGAGCCAGGGAGATGGTATGTGCTGAGCATTCCCCCTGGTGTGAAGGAGACACACCTCACCATAAATGCTAGCTGCTGTTCCCGTTACTGCCCTGTCCTCGGAGGCCTGCTCCAACATCCCCCCTTCTAGGAAGCCTAACTGCTGGAGCAAATGCTTCCTTCTGGATCCCCACGGCTGCCTGTCTCCATGGCACTTATCAGGCTAGCTACATAGCCTCTGTACCTCACTCTTCTCTGTCCTGTCTGCTCATCAGGGTCAGGCCCAGAGGACACACACAAGGAGAGCAGATATGGTAGGGCAGAGGGCAGAGCTGTCCAGGAGCTGCCAGGAAGGGCAGCTGCTGAGGTTGTTCCATCCCTGACCCTCTCCTGACCCGTGTTTCAAAGCTAGTACTGTCATCCTGTGTCATATGTTGAAGCCACGGCTCTCCGGGACTTAACTCTCCCATAGTTTGCAGGTGGCAATGCTGTGCCCTCTGGTGGCCATGTCAATAAGAGGGAAGATGATAGCTTATGGTCCTGGGAGGTCCAGTGGTGTTCAGCTGGAGGGGGTGGGTAGTCAGAGAGGTGCATTGGGACAGGACATTGGAGAGCTGAATGTGAAGGGTGAGCCATGTTGGGATATGCAGGGAGGGAAGTATGGGAGAAGCTAGAATATCAGTGGACTTGAATGCCTAATGAGGGGTTTTGGGTGAGGAAGCCACACTGACTACATCCTTTCCTCTCTTGGCAGCCATGGCCTTCATCACATATGTGCTGCTGGCTGGGATGGCACTGGGCATTCAGAAAAGGTTGGTGCTGACGCTTTATTCTCCCTTCTGGCTCATCTCCCTTCCTCTATAGGGAATGTGTGTCCGGTCCGGCGCCAGGTCTCAGCTCATTCTTAGCCTCTCACCTTACACCTGCTACAGGATGGCTCATTCTGACCTACCTTCTCCCATGGCTGCAGGTTCTCCCCAGAGGTGCTGGGCCTGTGTGCAAGCACAGCTCTGGTATGGGTGTTAATGGAGGTGCTGGCCCTGCTCCTGGGCCTCTACCTGGCCACCGTACACAGTGAGCTCAGTACCTTCCACCTCTTGGCCTACAGCGGTTACAAATATGTTGGGTGAGTACCTGTGGGCTGAGAGGAGCTTGGGGGGTCTGCGACCACAGCCTTTGAGCCTGTGTAGCTGCAGCCTTCCCTGTGACACTGGAGATGCTTCTACCCCATTTCAACCCCCAGCTCTACTCCACCAGTCTCTTGGAGCTAGTGACTTGAAAGAGGTTGAGGATTTGTGAGTTATCTTGGGGAGCCCAAGGAAGAGAAAGAGATTTCAGGTCCTGGGGATGAGTCCTGAACCTTGCAGATCCATTCAGAGTCTGGTTCCTTGTAGGGACAGCCTGGTGTGATGGGTCACAGTGGTGGGTGGCTCTAGGCCCTGGTGGATAGGGCCAGTCTCAGGCTTGGGCCTTGGGGATCACCAGTCCATTCCTGCACCCCCAGGATGATCCTCAGTGTGCTCACAGGGCTGCTCTTCGGCAACGATGGCTACTACGTGGCCCTGGCCTGGACGTCATCTGCACTTATGTACTTCATTGTGAGTGTGGGGTGATCCCTCTCCTCCCCCGGGTCAGCTCTGGGACACATTCCCCTCCTGGCCCAGCCTCAGCACTCCTTTCTTCTAGGTGCGTTCTTTGAGGACTGCAGCCTTGGGCCCTGACAGCATGGGGGGGCCAGCCCCTCGGCAGCGTCTCCAGCTCTACCTGACCCTGGGAGCAGCTGCCTTCCAGCCCCTCATCATATACTGGCTGACCTTCCACCTGGTCCGGTGATCCCTGGTCCCAGGTGGCACTGATTTTTCCATACATTGAAGATTTGGTTTCCTTGACTTGGCTTGACCCTGGTTCCTGGGGCCCAAGGGGAAGCCATGGACACCTCTGGGCCTCTGCTTTGTCCAGGAGACTCAGCTTGGGGCTGTTTAGGAGAAGGGTAGGTAGGTCCAAGGAGAGCATCCTGGAGGTGACTTTTATACTGCCTTGAAAAACAGCTGGAAGGATTGTATTAGACACATCAGGAAAGGGTGTGTGTGTGTGTGTGTGTGTGTGTGTGTGTGTGTGTGTGTGTGTGTAAGAATGGCTGCCAAGGAGACCTCTAAGGCCTCAGATACATCCGAGAGAAGCCTGGGGCTAGTAGGGTGAGATTCAGTGTGCTGGGGATGTAGCTCCAGGTCGCTCCCTTCAGAGTATCCCACCTGACCCCATCTGTTCAAGCCTTTCAGGAGCAGAACTGGGGCTTGTGTGTTTTCAGTTGTTTATTCATATTTTGTCACAAATGGCCGGGGAGGGGGTGCCGGACTCCTCCAGGCGACATAGAAAATAGGACCGAGGGGCAGGTGGGCTGGGTTTGGGAGAAGTAGAGACTGGGATGGAAAGAGAGCCTGGGGAGGGGAGAGGGCAGACTAGGGATGGGGCTGCCCCCATATTGAGCCTGCTCATTCCTGGTGCAGGTGCCCCCCCACCTGCAGGGGGAGCTTCAGGGTGAGGGCCAAGGGGGGCTGCCCAGAATTTCCAAGATCAAGGTCTGCCTGGTGGCAGGGCCCAAGTTCCCCTGAAACAGACAAGACTGGAAGTCCTGCCTCTTCCAGGACAACTGCCATGCCTAGCTGCAGGCTAGCAGTGGAGCCCCCACCCCTAGATAGAGCTTTGCCTGGCCCTAGTTGGAGGGGGAGAGCTCTGAAGGCGGGGGGTCCCCGCAGCAGCAGTTTGGGGGGTGAAGAGGCTGGAGGCACCAGTGCCCCCTGTCTCCCCGGGGCTGAGGCCTCTGTGGCCAGAAGGGTAGGGCTAGGGGTGCACAGGCGTCCGGTCCATTCTGGGCTTGCTCCCTGGCCGGCTTCACCCTTAGAAGCTCACCAACGTATAAACCATACTGTGGGGGAGACAAAGCTGTGAATGTGTGTCCTGAGAAAGCCTACCACCCTCCCAGTCATACCCTGGTTTGTCTGTAGTCCTCAAGGGCAAAAAGAGGGACTAGGAATTGAGAGCCTGACGCCTGGGCTACCCCTTGCCTAGTTTCCACCTGCCGTGGCCAAAGCCTCACCTGTACAGGTAATAGAAGAAGGAGAGCAGGTAGAAGGCGAGTTTGCACCAGGACTCCTTCTGGCAGTAGTTGAGGATGTCAGCATTCATGATAGAGACCGCATCATACATGACCTCAGAGCCATCCGCAGGACGGTGGAAGTACCTGGGGTGAGGGAGGTCTGAGTGCCCCCTCCAGCCACCCAGGTCTGGCCCCATCCTGCCCTGTTCCCATCTTCGCCTCCCCCAGGCAGCTGCTGCCCTCACCTCCAGAGGTGGTAGAAGAGGAGGGGGATGTTGAGGCCCAGGGTCACCCACTCTGCCGCACACAGAAACATCAGACAGAAGAGGCCGTGGATGGAATATTCCGGGACCACCAGCTGGGAGAGCGAGGGTGAGAGGTCAACGGCACAGGGAAGTGATGAGGTTTAGGGAGTGCCCACCCACCATGATCTCAGAACTAAAAGGTCTCTGGCTTGCCATTCCCACCCTCCCGGGTGGCAAAGTGGATCCAAAAGGCTCAGAGAAGAGGAAGGCATTGCTGTGGGATGGAGAGTGAGATCAGCACTAGCTAGGAGCTTCCTGACCCCTGCCCTGACACTGACCTTCCTCAGGAGGCAGCAGATGCGTTCGATGTTTTTCAAACGCTCGCGCTGTAGGGAAGGAAAGGGCCTAGATAAGAGAGGCCGTGGAGCAGAAACCAGGGCGCCTCCCACGGCCCCGCGTGTGGTCGCCAGAGGGCGCCAGAACACTCCGTGGTGTCTTCCTCGCAGGAAAGCAGCCGCGTCCCCATGGCGACTGTCGCCATGGAGGGGCCTTCATCTGCATCTCCATGGCAACGGCCCAGAGCCTGGAAAAGGCTGACCCACCAGGAGGAACCCGAGCCCTGAGCCCGCTCCAGGTGTTTGCGAGGGCGGGGACAGGGGAAAGGACAGGGTCACCTCATCAGCCCTCCACATCGCATCCCCTTTTCCCGACCCCCATTCCCACCTTCCACCCGTGACAGAAAGACAAACAGACGGACACACCTCAGCACAGCACATGTATCACTTACTGCCCGCGCTGGGTTCCCCTGGTCGATGGGGTTCTTGAAATCAGTCCGCAGCTCATCAAAGGCTATGATCTGGGGGCAGGGGCATGTACCTGTCAGGGTTGGGGCAGGCCCACCACCACCCTGAACACCTCAGACCCAGATGGCTCAGAGGAAAAGAACATGGGCTTCTTGGAGGGAGCTGGATGGTAAACACACACACACACATCTTGGCCTAAGCTCACAGGCAGTCGACAATGGAATCCTAATGTCTATTACACTCCCCATATATTTCAAGTCATGGCCTCTCCTCTCCCAGGCCTCATGCTGAGCAGAGGAACCCTAGAGGGTTAGAACACAGTTCTTGTCCAGGAGGCGCCCCAGGGAGTTGGGGAGAGAACTCTTGATCAGGTGGTGAGGTACGAGCAAGACTCCATATGGGTTGGTGGGCTCAAGCTGACGAGTAAGCATTTGGTGAACAAATGGGGGAAACGCAGTCCAAGCCGTGGTAACAACAGACACAAAGGCACACAGAAGGTTGAAAGAACATTCGGCCAGCGGTTCATGGGGCTGGGCTGTGTGAAGGTGGGAAGAAAAGAGGATTCGAGGCAGGTGGAAAGGTCAACAGAGCCAGCCCCTGCAAGGCCAACCAAGACGGCTTTACCATAAGAGTGGAGGGAGGCCTAGAGAACGAAGTGGGGCGGTCAGATTTAGGTTTAGGATTGGTGGGGACACAAGCTGGCTAACAGCCACAGCCAAGATCACCACCCAGCAGGCTTTATGAGCTGGCCGACCGACCGACCGCTTGCGACAACCTAATGACTTAATTCTAGCACTATTTTCATTGCTGACTTGCAGATGAGAAGACAGGTATCCTGTCCAAGGCCACACAGCTACTGAGTGGTAAACCTGTAATCCAGTGAAAAGTACTACCCACTTTGTCTGCTCGGAGATCACTGGAGGGCCTATTCAAGTCCAGGGGGGGTTCATGGTGGGCTGAGAAGGATGGTGGTCATGGAAATGGAGTGGTGGAGATGCAACCCGGTGCTCTCTAGTAGCCAGCTCCAAAGGGCCTGTGTGGTAAGGGGAGTGAAGGCAGAAGGTCCCAAGTGCCTTCTGTTGTGGTGTCCGGAGTAGGGGGACGGCAGTGTACTCAGCAGTGGGGAATCTCCTGAGGTAACAGACACTTGAGGAAATGACGGTGTGGGCCTGGAAGGAGCTCCCGGTGACCTGGGGGAGGCAGGCTGGCAAAGAAGCCTGACTGAGGGGGAAGGGGAGCCCCAGGATGAGGCAGCAGGGCCACCACCCCCAAACATCCTAGACCCCATACGGTTCAGAGGAAAAGAACACGGGCTTCCTGGAGGGAACTGGGGCCATCTGGAGCCCCTCCCCCAATTCCTCTGACTCTGGGCAGCTGCCTGCCTGATAGGCACTGCAACAGGGTCCAGCAGGGGCGGAAGGGTGCTGTCTGTCTGTCTGCCCCAGAGCTGGCACCACCAGCAGGCAGCGGGTGTGGAGCCTCCCCCCCCCCCAGGCTGCTTGGCGCTGACTCAGCGTCCCCCCACCCTCCCCCACCCCGGAACAAACAATTCCCCACTGTGACAGATGACACACGTCACTCACCAGGGTTGGTTGCCTAGTGACTAGTAGGGTCTGGGCTGAGGGTTGAGGTGGGAACAGGAGTCCGGGCACAGAAGGTTCTAGTCTTAACAACTTTGAACTGAGGCCCACATCTCCTCTCCCAGACCTCATGTCTACAAGTCCATTTTACTGATGAGGAAACAGTTCCAGTTAGCTAAGGTAGCCCAGCTAAAAGGCTGAAGAAGCAGTGTCTCAGCAGTAGGGGCTCCAGAAAGGTTTGTTAAGAGAACAAAGGCGTCGCTCCAAACCTTAGTAGACTTCAGCTCAGCCTGGGCATTCTGCAAGGGCAGAGTCTGGTCTTATGTAGCCTGACTCCCTTGCAGCTGTGCTAGGCTGCCTTCTGGGAGAATCTCCTGAGAGGTTCCCTATCAGAAAGAGGGGACGTGAGTGGGAAATGGGCTTCTTGAATTTCAGGCGCTAGTTATTTCCTGTGTGTCCTCATTCTTTCCAATTCTTAGGACCCGAGCTCTCTTGCCCCCACAGGACTGTCGAAGGCCCTGAGCCTGGGACAGGAAGCTCAGAAAGATGATAATGGATCTGGGGTGATGGAAGAAGAGAAAAACGGAGCAGAGGGCAAGAAAAAGCAAAAGAAGCAACTGGAAGACTTGGGTCAAGACCAGGGCAGAGTGAGGGCAGGGCTGGAGACGGAACACGCTGGGAGACACGCGTGGGCTGGGTCTTCACACAGTGGTGGCATGGCACCGTACGAAGGGGAACGAGGGGAGAGTTCCGGGAGGGGGGGGGACCGACGGACTACTGGTGAGAGGCAGCAAGTCCCAGGAAGAGAGAGGAAGTGGGGGAGCAGGAAAGAGGCAGATAAAGCAAGGAGGAAGGGAGGCAGGCCGGTTGCAATCAGATAAGAGGACCCCTGAAAGGATGACAAGACCAGGGAAGTGTGTGCAGATGTGCAGAGTGCACTAGTAGCCACAACAGACGGAGGCCTGGATGGGACCCGTTTGGGGCAGACACCTCAGAGGGCAGAGGCGGAGGGGAAGCTGGAAAGGGGGGTGGGGCAAAGACCCGGACAGTGAGCCAGAGGCTCACAGTTCTGTAGTGAGGAGAAAGGGACCAGGTAGAGGGCAGCCTAGGGAAAGCCCAGGGTAGAACTAGGTAGGAGAGCCCTCCGCAGGGGAGAGCCATCAG